CATATATAATAAAAAACGAAATAAAAAGCCAGTTAAGGTAATATAGAATTTTAATTTAAAGAAACAATAATATTATTCTAATTAATAGTTAATATGATTTTCTTTAGTTGCAATAACTTTTTGAAGTTTTCTTGGCATACTTTCAACTAAATTTTGCAAATATTCTAAGTCCAGATAATAAAAATTTTGCAAATATTCTAAGTCCAGATAATTTGAGAATAACAAATCGGTTTAATAAGCGATGGTAGCGCGAAAATAAATATGTTCGAACGGAGTGCGCTCTCGGAATTTATAAATCTAACAGGATCGGTGGGAAAAATAATACAAATTATAATACACGTATAATTGAGCAAAAGCGACTCGGTATCCTACTCAGGTAACTACCCTTACTTAGGTTACTATCCCTCATCGCTGGAATGCGGCTATACAATTGAACAAAAGCGACTCGGTATTTCACTCAGGTAGCTACCTGTCGCTTCTGCTCCATTGTATGGCCGCATTCCAGTGATGGGGGGTGTTATAACGTAGAACCCGATCGGCTCTTAGTAACAGTGCGGAATGCACATTGTTACAACCTACCCGGCGAGCTGCTTTACTGTGATTGGTTGATTTCCTATACCAAACTTGCAGTCACAGTATAACGGTTTTACGAATGCATCCCTCTTTTCACTTTTTACTTGTCCTTCTAGCAGTCAACATCGTCTAGAACGTAACGTTGGAGCGCATAGTTATTCCACGTGTTGAGTGTAATACGGAGTGTAATACGGAGTGTAATACGGTTTAGCAAATTATTCCAATTCCGAGGTATGTGCATAATTTTTAATTTTTCCCCGAATTTAAAATTACGAAGGAGCAATAGTAGCATGCAAAAAATTAATACGAAAAATAATTGGATTTAAATGGTCTTCATCAATCTGATATTTCCACTGTTAAACATTAAATTTGGATATATGGCAAAGTTAAATACTAATTTATTTTTAATTTATTATCTCAATTTGAAATTTATTGTTCCAATGCATACATAGGAACTTAATATTGAAAGTGAGGGTGTTGATTTAATAATCGTTCCCTGCCACGTGGATTGCATACACCTTACACCGAACTTACCGTTTTATTTGATTCTTTAAATCAGAA